GTGGGTGTCTTCAAGTGCCTTTTTCTTAACACACCCCTGAATCTCGTGTGCACACTTCCATCACTGACTGGTGGCAGTAAGCCATGGTTTCAGGCAGTGCTTTTCCCAGTTTATACTGGGGATGTGGGAGAGTGGAACCTGCTTGCATGCAAAACACATGCTCTACCACCAAGCAATAGCCCTTTTCACCAGTCTCCTCCACAGTAAGAAACATCGAGGGGGGCCATGCATCATTTGAAAATGCAAAGTCTTTTGCAAAGAGGAACGCCATGCAACAGACTTGCTAAAGCGGAGCAGGTCTGGGTCTGGAACTGGATAGGATATTCCCTGCGGTTTCTTCATGGAGAAAATAGTGCAAGAATGAGAGAGAGAAGGAGCGGGGGTAGTATGGTTCTAAACAGGCAATCCGCTGCAGCCGTGAGCTGCCTGCTCCTCGCACTGGATGGATGCATCACAGAGAGAGTAAAGTTCCAGGCGCCCGTGCCTGACTTGGCTCCTTGCAGTAGTTGCTCTAGCCTGGAGAACACCCTCTGTTTTCTAAGCAGGGGGATCATACAAGGAACGAGATACTGATATCTCACAGGGTGGCTGCTGTGGGCACTGGCATATCTGGAGAGTTTTATCTGGAGCAGCAGAAGATTAATCCCTGCACAAGGGTGAAGGGCTGATTCACATGACCAAGTCCATTCCCCCCCAACCCTCAAAGACGATGCTTCCCAAGGAGGAGGCAGGTCTCACAGTCAACTGCTGGTCATCAAATGGTTGATCTTTGTCCCTGTTCATCCATCCCTATAAGCCAGCCAAGGGCCATGCTGGCTGGGGTCCAACACATCGGAAAGTGACAGGGTTGGGGGAAGCTCCCTAAGCCATGAATTGTGTCTCCCCAAATCAGAATGTGGATAGGCACCCCTTTGCTCCTGCATCACCAGAGAGGCAGAGCTTCATGAGACCTGAGAGGACCACTTCAAGCGTAGGTATAGTTGGGCGCTAACCCAAGTCCTGTGCTGCAGCAAGATCCCACCAAGAGCCTCTGGACTTGCTCTTGCAACCTCCCTGTTTACCTGCATCTTATTCTGGCTTGGACCACAGTGGTGTTGAGTTGGAAGAGCAGCAGATGCCATCGCCCTCTTGCTCCCTGGCTCTCTGCCTATCATGGAAGGAAGTGGTCACAAGGATGAGGAGGCGGAGCAAGAGGAGCTGGTGACCATGGTGCTGAAAAGGTAGGCTGAGGAGGGGGACCATTGCAGTTGACATGCTCCCGGGCCTTCAAACACCTCGAACGGCACTGATGACCAAACCCAAGTTTCTAGTTTAATTGCACCCAAACAAGTCAGGATCATAAACGAACAACTAACACGGCTTGCTACCCAGGATGCATTGCTATCTCATCCACTGCAGCACAGAAAGATAGAGCTAATGGGAAGCAGGCCAAATGTTTCCCTGGTTAAAACAAAATCCAAGTTCTTTTAGCACTGAGAACTTGGTTTGAGTATGTAATATGAGCTAAAGGGTTTCAGAATGTACCTTTCTCTATGTTCAAATTTAGCTAAATTATTAACTGCAGAGACAGAGGTCTTCCATCTTCATATTCTGACATCAAAAACCTAGAACACTTTGTCCTGCAATGTAATTTTCACAGAGACTTACAGGCTAAATGGACTCTCCCTAAGTTTAAAACATCTCCTTCAACTCCCACAATTCTTCCTCAATATGAGAGTATCTACCTGGCATTCACGAAGAAGCAATATCTCAGCATTATTGTCAGACTTTAGACAGCAAAGGAACAGTGAGAGTAACTTAACTAGGTGTTAATGTTTGGTAATTGCTAAAAAGCCCCCCCCCCCAGACAAATCTCACTTTGGCCACCAATTTGCTGGTGATTTTAGCCTAGATGTTCTCCTTGGCCCCATTTCTCCAGAACACTGACCTACCTTGGAAGGCTGATGTAAGAACGAGATTCAATATGGCTTGGAGGCCAGAGAGGCAGACAAAAACCAGTGAGCTTTGCATTCAAATTGCACTCAAATATAACGCTCCCTGACTCGGTTTCGGCCAGTTACTATTTTTCATCCTAACCCATGTGGCAAGTTCCTTGTGAAGGAAAATGGGAGGGGAGAGAATCATGCACAGCATTTTGACCTATTTGGAGGAAAGATGGGGTACAAATAAAATAATAATATAATATATATGAAGTGCTTTTGAATCATTAAATATTGCAAATTGTTTCTACATATACAGTCATTGGAGGAAAAAACTTGACCATGGAATCCCTACATATCTGCTGAAACGTAGTCGCACAGAGATCCATATGGCTTACTCCCAAGTAGGGGTAGATGATTCCATCAGTTGTAAGTTTGTTTTGTTCCATTCCCACATTAGTTTGTAACATTTAAACACACACACAAATTGTTTGCATTCTCATACATGTAACTCCTAATATACACAATTTGCCCTAAAACATGCATTTTTGCCAGCCATTTCTCCTCAAATCATACATTTTGGTATGCATTTTTCACTAATGTCGATATTTCTGTGCACACATCCTGTGATATTTGGACTTTGCTGCACTTTAAAAAAAGAACCATAGTGTACAATGTGAAGAGTTGGCAAATGCCAAAAGATAAACGTATTCCAGTTGAAGGAGTTCAAAATCAGTGGGCATCCAGATATTTTTAAACAAATGAATCATAGAATGGTGGAGTTAGAAGGGGCCATCGGGTCTTCGGAAACAAGAAGTCAGAAATGACTTAACGGCACAGCAACAAGTTCTTATTGGCAAGGCACGTGTTGCACCTTGCAAGGACTGGAAAGAAGGTGTTTGGCCACAGCTGGAAGAAGTTTATCAGGAGGGCTTTAAACTGAATCCTACAGGGGAGGGGGAAGTAATCCTGGATGTAAGAACAGACAAAGGTTTGTGCACCACAACAGAGAGAGCAGCTCAAACAGTGCCCAATATTGGTATTCCAAAAAACGTAAGCAGAAAGCTAAGAGCATAAGGCACGTGGTTTTCACTGTCTATATGCTAATCCCTGGAGTATGGGAAACACGCCATTAACCTGAGCTCTCAATGCAGCAGGGCTAATGAAACCTGGTAGGTATAACTGAAACTTGGTGGGAGACTCCCACGATTGGAATTGGAACAAGGGAAGGATATGAGCTGTTCAAGAAGGCACAGAAAGGGCAGGGGAGTCACGCTGTACGTCAAAGACACATATGTCTGCACAGTCCTACAGGGGGATGAGCTTAGTGGCCCCATTCAGAGCCTCTGCATTAATATAAATGGAGCAATGAATAAAAGGAGCGCAGGTTGGAGCCTATTACCAACCACCCAGTCAAGGAGAAGATGAAGATGAAATGTTTGAAAAGCAAATTGCCAGGAAGCATACTGTTGTTGTTGTCGCCATGGGGGACTTCATTTTCCCTGATGTCTGTGGGGAGACAAATTCTGCCCGAGACAGACCCTCCAAGAGATTCCTAAAATGTGTTGCTGACAACTTCCTCCAGCAGAAAGTGGAGGAAGGAATGCAAAATCAGCTATCCTTGACATGAGACTAACCAACAGGGATGAGATGACCTGGTGGACAAAGCTACATGAACTCTGGGAGAACTCTGGGAACTCTGTCATACTTGAAATCTTGATTCTAAAGGAAGCAAAATGATTTGGATGAGGAAGTGCAAGGAATGCTTATCAGATATGCAGATGACACAAAACTGGGTGGGATAGCCTGTACCCTGGAAGGCAGAAAGAAGATTCAATCTGGAAACAAAGCCTCATGCTAAGAGACTGAAAGAACTGGATATGCAGGGAGATGTGATAGCACTGTACAAGTACTTAGTAAGTACTCTTACAAAGAGGCAGGGCAGGATCTCAGTCACTTCGGGGTGCAAGACACAGAATAATGGGCTCAGGTTACAGGTACTGTTATAGCAGTAGGACAATGGAACCAATAAGCTAGAGAGATTGTGGGCTCTCCCACACTAGAGGCATTCAGGATGCAGCTGGACAGCCACCTGAGAGGAAAGAAAGAGGTTCAACCCCCCTGAACGTGTTGGCTTTGGCATTATTTATGGTCAGAAACTGTGTACAGTGTGATTTCTCATTTTCTCACCTCGCCTACTATCCTAAGCACAGGTGGTTCAAGATGCTATGCATATATAGGATGCTATGAGTATATACGTTATGCATGTATCTAGATGCTATGCATGCATTTGCACTAAATGTGTTCGAGACTGAAGCAGCAATAGAGGACCCATAATTCTGCAGTACTGTACTACACATGTTCTCCATGAAGGGGTACCACCTCCAGTCCCCAGCATCCCCAGGAGGACGGGGGGAGATCCCGGTGGAAGCCTCCTCTGAGCAGAACTTTGCAGGTGGGAGCAGACTCAGGACCTGAGCCAGCCCTTCCCTCTGCTGTCCAGCCAGTGACCAGGAGCACTTTCCACAATCCATGGATTAGCACAGCAGCACATCCTCCTGAATCATGGCACAGCTTTGCTGTTCTTGCTCCCTTCCAATGCACTCAAGTATCCCAGGACGTTCCTAAACCCTCGCAGCAGATGTTGGAAGGTAACGTGAATGAAAGAATGCGGGGCCCTCTCCCCACAGCCAAGAGTAGTAATTTCTTTTGCCTTGATTAGAAATTTGGCTCCAGGCCTCAGGTCTGCATCCTGATTGACTACTCAAGGATAGCAGGAGAGATAGTAACCTTATCAGCCATAAGCAACCTGAGCTCGATACCAAGGTCAGCAATTGCTTTGTTTGGGAGGGCAAAAAAGGGTATCTTCTCTGCTCTTGTTTTGACTTGTCACTCGGGTTGTCTAATCTCAGCCTCCAACCTCGTTATAAAACAAAGCGAATAGTAGAACAGGCATTCTCAGCTTGTGGGACCAACAGAAGGGGCTGCTCGCTCAGGCTGGAGCTCTGCAGAGGTGCCGGACCTTTCCACACTTCAGCCTTCTCCTTTCCAGCTGCAGCCCTCTAGACTGACTTGGACGAGATGATCATGGAAACCTTGAACCCGGTGCAGTACAACATCTCCCGCGTGGTGTCCGACACAATGCCTGCAGCCACCGTGCCCCTCCTGCTCATCGTGGGCTTCCTCTTCCTCGTTTGGACTTACGAAGAAACCTCCTCAATCCCAGGTAAGTTCTTTGGGAAAGCTGTGTCTGAGCAGCCCGATTTTGGGGGAAAGCCTTCTGGGGGAAGGAGCAGTGAGGGGCAAAGGAAGTTTAGCAGTGGCAAGTAGACAGGCTGTGTTGAACTACACGAGGCTGGAACTTTAGCTTTGAATGGCAGATCCAGATAATGTCGATAGAGGAATTGGAAGCACGTCGCGTTGTCAAGGCTTACAAAAGATCTTCCTCCCTTGGTGTCCCCTTATAAACCCATCGCTCCTTTGCCAAGCTACTTGTATAGCCCTGGGTACAGCAGGAATGTCTATGTGCACCAGATGCTGGGAAAAGTGGGCGGGGGGAGGGCTGTTTGTGCAGGATCCTGTCTGCAGTGCGTTGTGCCCTGTGCAGGCAGAATGCTGGGCTAGTGGGAGTCCCAGATTAGCGTTTCTTCCGTTCTTCCTTCTCATTAGACATATGCAGCTTGTTCCTATGTGCATCTTCCCAGGGGACCCTCTGAATTATACGGGATGTGCTTCCAGGTGCACACATATGTTCCAATAACCCCATTAAGCACCATGATTAGGCATGCATGGGACCGCACATGCACGGAGTGACACTAAACCGGGAACATATATTTTGCTATTGCTTGAAATGTTGGCCCTTTTTGCCATGTTTCAGACACACTTTTGCCCAGCCTCTGAAACAGTGGCATTTACATGCCATGAAGGGATCAACTGATAATAGGTAGGCAGCAGAGAGGTGTCATTCCTTAAGGTAATCTCCTTTTCAAATTTCACAGGGAGAATTTAATGCTAGTTAAGAAGGAGGCTTCCCACTGAATTCAGTAGATCTGGGGGTGTTTGGTCTGATAATAACTGTTTAAAGAGCCTCCCTTTTTAATGAATTTGATATTTAATGCGTCCCCATTTGAATTGTCTTGTGCCAGCAATGCAAGTCAAATGCAAGGCAAAAGGCAGAGCAGGATCTCCAGGGAGACTTTCAAGAAATCAGCGTGAATTTCATATTCCTGATGGTTTCACTATAGCAATCCCTGAAAGAATTTCTCCACCTCCACCACCTTCCTAAATTAGGTTGCTGAGATCAAGATTTGTGATTTGTGTCTGGAAAGATTGATGCACAAGGCTCTGTTTCTGAGAGCTAAGCAATTCCTGGGCTGAGCATCTGCTTAGAGGTATGTTGCTCTGCAGCTCCACAGCCTCCGGTGTCTTTTTGCTTGCACCTGGCTCCTTCCCCAGCCTAGGCACCTGTGGATGTTTTGGACTGTACATCCCATGAGCCCAGCCGGCATAGCCAATGGACAAGCATGGTGGGCGCTGTCACCCAAAATAGCTGAGCTGCACCGGATTGGGAGCCAGCCCCACTTGTTGCTTAAGAACAGATTCCAAATTTTAATTCTGGAGGAGATTCTAAAGTTGTTTTGCATGCCTATCTGGTGTGATATAAAATGGGCAACATGGTATGAATGGTGTGATTTTTGTGAGCACCAAGGTTCTCTGAACACCACCTTGGAGTTCAGCAGCGTTTGCCTCAGCTTCCCATGCTCAATTCAGCATCAAATGCATAGAGCTTTTTTATTGTATGCATTTGAAAAATGAACATGTTTCAGACACAAGTCCACATTTGGATATTGTAGGATTTCGGTAGGATTTTTGGCCATTCTTGCTTGCTTCGGGATAGAGAGCATGAATTTGCAAGCATGAGTGACATTCTTGTGCATCCTCTGATTAGATCAATGGAAAACAAAGGGGGCTTGCCCTGCAGGACTTTCCAGATTTGGCTGGTTCTTATGAGAAACAGGTTGCTATGCTGGAATTTCCTCCTCTCTGGATCCCAGCAGATGTGTTGTGGTACAATTGCACTTCCCATAATGGCTGGATATTATAGTCCAGCACATCTGGAAAACAACGGGGGAAGCCTGCATGAAATGGACCTTTGGTCTGATCCAATAGCAAACCATGCTTCCATGTGCTACAAGTATGATCTTATGCACTCAAAGCCAAATAGCGGCATGCCCTCCTTCCCCAACCTGCTAAGTACCAGATTCTTCAAACTATAAAACTGTAACTCCTGGGATTCCTGACCATGGCTCTGCTGACTGGGGCTGATGCCATGTCAAGTTCTAAATATCTGGAAGGCACCAAACTGGAGAAGGTTGATCTACACATATGACAGAGATGTTCAGTGAAATCCTATTGTGAATCATGGGTCACTTTTTCTCCCATTCCATTTTCTCTCCCCCTCCATCTTGCAATGGACTTCCAGAAAAGGAACAGATCACTTTTGTCAGAAGCCTGGACTGATCACCTGCACAGGGTTTGTGAAATAGGCTGTGGGCTGCATGAAATTGGGATGAGGGGGTGCAGGCTGCCCTCTCCTGGACAGATGGTCCTTCTGTCTGATCCATCAGGGATCTTCTAATGTCATTTGGAAGAAAATCCAGGGATGATTCTCTTCCAAAGAACTGCTGATCCACAGTTCTCCAACAATACCTATTTGAATCCATATTTAAATATGTTCATGTCATATACTTCCCACTCCAGAACTGTGAAAAAGTATGAGTGTGTGTTCAGATGCTTATGTAGCTAAACATTTGCATTAAAATCTATATTTTTCTCCTATTTCCTTTCAGGGCCTGGATACTGTATGGGAATTGGGCCCCTTATTTCTCACGGGAGATTCCTCTGGATGGGACTGGGCAGTGCCTGCAATTACTACAACAAGATGTACGGTGAATTCATGAGAGTCTGGATCAGCGGCGAAGAGACCCTCATTATTAGCAAGTAAATCTTTGGTCTCGGTCAAGCAGGGTGGAGGAGGACACCTGGTTCCGTGACTCTCCCCTCTGGTGGGATTATTCTGCACTGGTTCCTAGTGAATGGACTTCAGGGTTGCCAATGACCTTAGGAAAGGCAGTGGTGCCATCGGGACAGGCCCTGGGGGCAGGTGTCCGGAGCCCCACTCAGCAAAATGGATGGATGAATTGATGGCCAGGTTCATGAAGAGGAATTTGGCTTCTAATTAGTGGCTTCTACTCCTGATGGCTCCTGTCTCTGCATGCCAAGGCTGTTGCCCTCGTACTTGGCTTAGGAGACCCTGCAGCAACTCCGTGCCTGCCGTGTGAACAGAATGCTAGATTAGACAAACCATGCATGGCTGTTCCCATGTTCTTACCCACCCTGTCCCACTTTCACAGTAGACATATACCACGTGCTCCTATGTGTGCCCACTAAGAGACCCTCTGAGTTTTATGGGATGTGTCTACATGCAGAATTTAGATGCCAAGGCAAGCAGTCGTGGCAACCACCAGTTTGGACAGGCATTGGCAAAATCCCAGATGACAAACAACAGCCTATGTTATCATTTCTTTCTGGATTAGGTTGTTGAGCAGGAGAGAGCTTGGGCTCAGAATGTACTCGGCGGTTCCCCACACAGACTTTTTGAACTAACCTGGTTGTGTCTGGTGGATCGTGGGGTCCAGACAAGCAGGCGGAGATCCCAGGGGGCTGGATTTGTTTGAGGTCCCTGTTCTGAGGCATGGCAGTTTCTGTCTCCCATGGGAGGTTTTTGTCTTGGCCTGTTTTGCTTTATTTTACTGTGCAGTTGGACAAGAATGTGCAGCTGGGGGGAAAGGTGTCACTGCGGGAAATGCTCGTTTGGGAAGCTGGTTGGGGAACAATTGGATAATGGGAAAATGGGCTGTTTGTTATGCATGCATGTTTGTTCATGATGGGGAACGTCAGAGGTTGCATGCCACCCAAATAATGTCAGTGCGGAATACGCTCAGTTTCCATGCTTAAGGCAAACCGGCAAACCATATTCAAGCAATCTCTTCGGTTGGGCCAAAGCTGCTCTTCCTGCACTCCATCTTTGAGCGGGTAACATTTCATCGCCTCCTTGTAAATGCCCTTTACGTATTCCCGCCCTTGTTCCTTGGGTCTTCCATGCATCCTACAGTCCTTCTGCATGCCATGCAGAAAGCTGGTCACAGTGCAGGTACGCATGTACCAACCACCCACAACTGCATATACTACCAACAGCACATAAGCCATGCTGAACCCGTAACGTGGGTTGCATGGCATGCAAACCTGGCCTACCTTTAGCTCTGTACCACAGAAGCCCTCACCTCGGCATCCCAGGCGTGTTCTGCTAGGAAACATCTGTTCAACGCAACCTCTTGTCTTTCCGAGCTGTGGAGTCCATCGCAACGACATTTCTAAGCTTTTAGCTCCCTCTAAAGGAAATTCGCTGTCATGTTAGTTTAGTTTTCTTCTAAGTAAGGACAGCACAGTAGAAAAAGCAAATAGGAATAAAATCAGTGTCATGCAATACAAATGTTGGTTTTTAAAGCTTATTTGTGGCATCCTGTCAAGAAATATTTTAAAGTGGCCAAGCTGGCCCTGTAATTTAGAGCAAACAAGCAATGCATTTAGCACTCAATTCAATAAAACCCATTATAATATGTTCCAAGGCCGATGGGTGCTGTAGCCCAAACCGTATGGAGGGCAACAAATGGTCCATCACTGACAAAAATATTGCAACCAGCTAATATATTTATTTTTATCAATGTAAAACATTTAATTCTGCCTTTCAGAGAATTTCAGGCAGAAATCAGAGAATGGCAGAATACAATAAACCGGTGGCATACCTAGCATAATGCCTCATACGAGAAGCGCAAATGAAACCCCAGAACAATGCAGAATGCTTATATATTCCAGAAGTGCTGCACCTCAGGTCTGCAGGCCAAATATGACCACCTGCGGTTCCATGTTGGCCCTCTGAGTTGTGTCCAATGTGCTCACCCCGCTTTCCCCCAACAGCAGCCCTAAACTTAGTGGCAGTAAGAAATCTGAGTTATGTGGTGGGTGGGGTATAATTTGGCCTGGCCCTCTGCCTTTGTTCCCACTCCTTGCTTTTGCTCCAACCCTTTCTGAATTTGCCCAGTCCACCCCAGGAGTTCACTTCAGCCCTCCAGCTGATAGAGCTTCCACATTCCTGACAGGCCCTGTGAAATGCCAGAGCAGACAAAATGATCTTAACCTGGTACCCAGGTGCTTATAAAGTACACACAATCGCTTGATGCAGTTCTCTTTCCTTCACTTCCTAGATCTTCAAGTATGTTTCACATCATGAAACACGGACACTACATCTCCAGGTTCGGAAGCAAGCTTGGCCTGCAGTGCATTGGCATGCATGAAAATGGAATCATATTTAATAATAACCCCGCTCTCTGGAAAGAAATTCGGCCCTTTTTTACCAAGGGTAAGTGGCATAACTTTGGTGCTTACTTCCTCGGCATGGAATCTATGTCTGGTTTTGATGGGTGACACAGGACATTTTAAGAATCTATATGAGAGTCTGTAACAATGGCAGATAAAGAGGATAAAGCGAAAGAGCATTCAGAGCTCACCACAAGGGTCGTGGGGAGTAGTTATCGTGCTCCCCCATCTGGGGGCTGCCCTGAGTGGTCAGAATGACATCTGGAAGCAATCCTATCTCTGAGTCTAATGGCTCCTAAATCATTCACAAATTCCGTCCCTCATGCTCAAAGCAGATGATGTTTCCATCTCATATGAATGGTTTGTTCCTGTTGCCGGTCTCTTTGCCCCCATTCAGACAATAATCTTTCTCCTTGCGTGGTGGACTGGGAGTGCCCACTTAGCCCCACCGTCCCACCCCTGAGTCAATAAGCTCTTCAGGAAGGGGTGCAATGTTGTGAGGCTGCCTAGACTGCATGGTTCATGGCAGGTTTTGATCCAGGACCTGACCATGGTCTGGGTCTCCACGCCATGGATTTGATTTTATTTGATTTGATTTGATTTGCCTTCTGGGACATGAGTGTTTTGTGATTGACCAAATGTACCATGGCTTCCATTTTATGAATGGTTAAATCCATCTCGGTAACAGCCATTTTGTGAGAGCACCCACAACGACCCCTCAGAATCCCACTGGACCAAAAAGGTTGATGACCCCAATATAAGATGTTATTCTGTAATAGGTAAAGGAGAAGGGAAATAGAATGAAACTAGTGAATACTGAGCAAAGTCAGTGGTCCTATCACATCTCCTTTGCCCTGGGTGTGCCCTACTCAAAACGAATAGTTACTTTGCAAGACCACTCCCTTTCATTTCAAAATGGGCTTGTTTTGGATGATCCTCGCCAAAGCATCTACTGTTTCAGTGCCAAATGTTGCAGACTATAAGGACATCTGTGAAATTTCAGCCCTGTCAGGTCCAGGCCTTGTGCGGATGATAAAAATTTGCACCGAGTCAACAATTGAACACCTGAACCGGATGCAGGAAATGACCACCAAGCACAGCTACATGGCCAGCCTGAATCTTATGAGGTGCATCATGCTGGACACGTCCAACAAACTGTTCCTTGGGATTCCTCTTGATGGTACTAAACTATTTCTCAGAGGTTGCATGACCATTCCCAAGTGCAGAAAGGAGGGTAGATCTTTTATAGCCAAATAGAACCATCCAAGCAGAAGAGGGAGGGATTAGAAGACCCTGGAGAGCACTCAGGTTTGTGTGCTGCCCCTGGTTTCTTCTCAGAGGCATCACATACAGTTCTACTGTCTTCACTGTACCCATGGCCAGAATGGCCAGATTTGGACACATGATAAACCACACTCAAAGTTTGAGTATGGGTTGAGTGTGAGTTGTCACCGAGCCATGGCGTTTGTTGAATGTGGGTTAGCATGTTATCTGAACACAGCTGAGAAGACAAGCCACAGCCTGTGGACCACAAACAACCCATAGAGAGAACCCATGGTTTATTGATGGGTTGTAACTTGTGGGTTGTTCACCATGACTTGTTATCTCCCGGAGGTTCAAACACCATAAGCCATGTTTCAATAACCATCCATGTCCCAGCAACCCACACTCGACCCCAAATGATCTGAGCAAAGTCCATGTCTGGACACAAGAGGAGGGCTTTTCCAGTACACCTAACTATAAAAATGAGATGCTCAGCACTGAGATTGCCTAAGCATCCAAAATGGGGTGAAAATATCAACCAAAGCTTTTCTGGCAGGAATCTGTGAATGCCACCCCTCAGGTTTAGCATTTTAACTCAGTCGCCTAGTGAATGCAACGTCTCCATGGGGCTTGTGTGCTGATGTTTACTCTTTCTGTGCTCCACAGCAGCTCTGGATGCAATTTTGGTTTTATTTTTCTGCATCTCCTTGTTTGGGCACTTGCATTTGGCACAGGGGTCAAATATGGTCCTCAGACCTCTGGAGGTTGCCCACTTCTGTTTTGCACAATGGCTGCAAGAACAAGACTCAGGGCTGTAGGGAAGCGATGAGGAGGCCAAGCTCCTCCAAACAGAGAGGGAAAATTCCTTTCCAGGTCAGAGAGCTATAGCTACCCTCTTCCGGATTTCATGTTGTCTTGCTCTTTTCCACAAGCATTTTGCATGGTGGAATCTGAGAGCTGAAAGGAACCTCAGAGATCATCTAATCTAACCCTCTGGCAATGCAGGAAATTTATGGCCACAGTATCCCTGCAGTATAATGCGAACACTGCTTGAAAACCACTGATGAGGAGATTGTGCCAGCTTCCAAGGCAGTCTGCTTCACAGATGAAGGATGAACTGTTTCTACCAAGAGGAGATTCCCCCTTATGTTTAGTTAAGGGAATGTTCCCAGACTCGCCTTTTGCTCTGCAATCACCTTACATCCAATAAGGAATTTTCCACGGGGGCAGCAACTGCCATCTGCATTTGTTGCTCACAACAAATCTGTATTTTCCTTATCAGGAAAAGGAATCATTTAGGTGGGGCAAGAGAAACAGAATATGTGCATCATGTCTTTTGATTGTGATAGGGACCCATGGTTGAAAAACACCCCAAATCCCCTTTCTTGTAACTGGAGGTTGGTTTCAGTGCAAAGCAGAACAAATGTCTACTCAAGAGTAAGGCCCATGGAGTTTAATGGGGCTTATTCCCTAGAAGGTGTGAGTAGGAGCAACAGAAAGCCAATGTGCTCCATCAGCTCTGTGAGAGCCCTCAAACTATTTGCCCAGCAATGCAGTGTGAAGCAACCTTCTTTTTCATGCCAGGCTTTTCGCATGTGTAAATTGCCCAGAATCATCCATGCATATTGGCAGAAATCACAGTTTCAAGCAGAGGTTTTTCCTGCCCTCCCAGAGATAGGCATTCCCACCCGGCGATGTGCCACTGAGCTCCCACCCTTCCCGTGCCCTCTTAATTGTCTCTTCTCCAGGGCAGAGGCACCCAACCCCTCCCTGCTTTCCTCCCTGGTGATGTGAGGCTTGGCCCATGTAACTGCAGCTGGTCTCTTTGATTGGCCCAGAGGAGTAAACTGGAAGGGGCATTGTGGGAATTTCTTCCATTGACTCGTCTCTGTCTTGCTCTGCTTCAGAACATGCCATCGTGGTTAAAATTCAGAGCTACTTTGATGCTTGGCAAGCACTGCTGCTGAAACCAGACATCTTCTTTAAGATCTCGTGGTTGTACAAGAAGTACGAGAAATCCGCGTAAGTAGCAGTAGAGACTTATTCCACTCTTATGAGTTATGCTGCCCGCGTGTGGAGTTCCTCTGAGAACTTTAAAGGAGCAGCTGTGATGCTGAAATGAACTGGGAGTCCACGTTCAGCATGTGGCTAGGCACTCAAAGCTTTCAGACAGAAACCTAGGTACCCCACCACCCTGACATTAGAGCTTCCAGCTTGTTTTACTTATTGGGGTTCTATCCCACCTTCATTCTTACAAAGAACTCATAGAAACATAGAAACAGAGTGAGGCAGAAGGGTCCTCCTGGGCCATCTAGTCTGACCCCCGGCACCAGTCCGCTCCACCATGTGCACGTCCAGCCTATCCTTAAACACCCTCACCATTGGGGCTTCAACCACCTCCCATGGAAGCCCATTCCACACCCCAGGGGACCTAACCTAACTCAGAGCGGCTTGCATCCTCCTCCTCCTGCTGCTGCTCTCAATCTCAGCCTCACAACAACAACCCGGAGAGTCTGTGGGCTGAGAGTCTGTGACCGGCCCACATTCACCCAGGCGGCTCCACGGCCCAGCGGGGACTAGGACCCACACCTCCTGAGTCCCAGTCCTGCATTCTTGACCACGTCGCCACACCAGTTGGCAGGTGGAGAAAGCAGGCATGGGCTTCTTCTCTGAACAGGGGCTGGCAAGTATGAAATAGGACTCAGCCACAGAGCTGAACCACACCGTTACATCCTGCCTGCAACCTGGCGTGTTTTGCATAGATTAACCTACAAAAGGCTGCTCTCTGTCTCTCCCCTCTCGCTGTACAAACACGTGAGGTCCCAGCTCCAGCAGACAGTGTGTCAGTCCCTTCCTGTTCGGTTACCCGATTCTGTGAAGCCTCTGCAGCAGGCCTGAGCTTACACGCAGACACGGAAGCACCGCAGGTATTTAGCTCTCCGTTCCTTCTGTTCCAGGAAGGACCTGAAAAAAGTAATTGAACTCTTATTAGAGCAGAAACGACAAAAGCTTTCCAGGATGGAGACACTTGAGGAGCACATGGATTTTGCATCACAGCTGATTTTCGCACAGGTAATTGTTGGTGCAGAAATTCCCCCTCCACCCCCACCCCCACCCCGCTCAAGTTTTCTTGCTTTTTTTGCCCAGATCTGCATCTTGATTCCTCTGGCCCAGTGGTGTTTCCTTTGTCCAGCAATGGCTTCCCAGCAACTCAGGGTCCCCATCATCTCCCACCTGAGCCTTTTACCTGGAGTTCCCAGAGGCTGAATCTGGGGCCTTCTGCAATTCTCTTCAACCAAGCTATGCTCCCCATGTTCTATTACTTTATTTTATTTAGTTGTTTGGAAATTTCCCAATAGCATTATGCTCTCTGGGCAGCCATTACCATAAAAGTACCAACAAGTAACATGAATAAAATGATGCAATTAAAATATAATAAATAAACAGGATAAAATCACATATACATAGTCAAATAAAAGTTAATATGTTAAAACCAGTGCAGAATCATATAAATAGCCCAAGTGGTGCCATAGGTGCACCAGAAGAGAAACGTTTTTGTCAGGCACCTAAAGCTCAGCAAGGCAGGCCCCTGACGAATCTCTGATGATGGAGCATTCCAGAATCCAGGTGCCACCACAAAGAAGGCTCTTCCTCTTACAAACTCTCCCTCAGCCTCCTTAGGAGAGGACCTCCTAGGAAGGCCCCTGTTGATGATCGTAGGCAATGGGCAGGAATATTTGGAGGAAGGCACTCCTAAGATATTGTGGCTTTGTGCCACATTGTGTCACCGGCTTTGTGAGTGTTGCTTCTAGATTTGCTGTACTACCAAGCACATCATGATGCCAAATTGGGCTGATCTGAGTTTGGTTCTGCAGTATTGCTGGCCCCCGGGTTTGGTAGTCACCCTCTGCCTGTTTCCGTTTTCACAGAGCCGCGGGGAACTAACTGGTGAGAATGTAAACCAGTGCGTCCTGGAGATGCTGATCGCTGCTCCTGATACTCTCTCAGTCACAGTATTCTTCATGCTAGTGCTGATTGCAGAACATCCTCAAGTGGAGAAGGCCATGATGAAGGAAATACAGACTGTGATGGGTAAGTGCCCAGTGACAACAGAAGAGAAGATGCTAGGGGCATGTGGTCTAATTTTTGCTTTGGATCCAAGGTACTAGGGATGTGTTTTGCCTTGGCTTTTGGAACGTGTGTGTCTGTACATGTCTTTGAAATCTCACTGATTCCCAAGTCTTACAATTGGCCAGAACTGAACACAGCACGATCTGCTTTCGTGTCCTTAACAGCAGCTTCACACACAGAAATCAGGCTGGGTTGCTGCAGCGCTCCATCTGTGAGACAGTCTTTGAAAACAGCCTGGAAATTTAAATTCCAAAGAGCCATGGTCGCATTGTCTTCCAGCACCCATCATTCAGAGCCTATAATTCCAGTTGATTTAGCGACAGGAAGCTTAAAATTCCAGCCACCTTGGCCAGGTTTCATTAGTGCTCTTTTCATTCTGGGCCTCCCATTTAAGGAGGGCATTAAATTACCCCATGGGGCTGCCGGTGCCTTGCAGTGTAGCACTGAGGTCCAGTGATTCAGTGCTGTGGATGATCCAAAAGGGGGGAAACACATGATATGGCTACCGGGCTGCATCGATGGATTTAGTGTCTGAATGATCCCATGCACAGCGGTATCTGTAAACACGCAAAGCCGATTGGAAGAAGCGTTCCAGCCACTCTAGCTTTTCCTCTGGCATAGTTTTGAATGTACAGCAAGTTTTCAGCATAAAGGAAGAGTCCCATCAAAAGGGACAGGGGAAAAGCAATTAGTTCATCTTTTAATGCACACTTACCTAATGTCACATTTTTGAACCTCTACATGAAGTGAAACTCAATGATCCTTTAAAATGTGCATTTCTCCATGAACTTCTTTAAAAAAAAAAATCCATACAGAAAGGCATGCGTTAGGCAAATTAACAATTTTAAAGGCCTATTAGGAAAATTGTTTATAAAATCTGCACATTAGGTAAAATTGTTGCATGCATTAGGAGAAAAGTACACCCAGATGCTTTTGAATTTGGATACAGACTTAATCAAACCAACAACTTAGTGCTGCAGATGAACTTAACTGAGGATAGGATAAATTCTCTGCATTTAAGATGAAGGGGATTAAGACTGAAAAATGAAAAACAGAGAGAAACGGAAATTGACAGATGCATCCATTCCTACCAACCACTCAATTCTCTCATTTTTCCCTCTGAAGTGTAGTAGAGTCATTAAGTGAGGTAGCCCATTGACTATTCTGTTTCTTAGACATGATCGGCAAGATTAAAAGGTTTTAAGAGGAAAAAAAACTCAATACGTAGCATTTAAGGTTGCAGTTCTGTGCCTGGCAAGCATGATGCACCGGGGCCTCCAGACTCTGAGGTTTACATGCCTGGCACAAGGAATACTGCTAGTGATCTTCTCAGACACTGTACCATGTACTAATTTTTTCTTCTAGACAGCCATTCTCTGCCATCTAGGTGAAGCATCAGGCTGGGCACCAGGAGAAATCAGCATCATTCCCTGGCCCCAGACTCCTCCCCTCCCCAGCTTCTAGCATGCACCCTTTCCCCCTCTGAGGCCTGGTTGCAGTCTTGGGGGGTGCGGGGAGCTGACACAGTCCTTCACCTGCAAGAGGGACAAGGCTGGGGTTTGGCTTTTAGAGTCTCGCCTCCAAGGTTGCATGGTCACAGTCCTGGCTCTCCAAATTATCCTATGACATGGTCTGGGAGGCAGTAGGATTGCATGCTAAATTGTAAAAATTAAAGAAATAAATCTGGCGTTTTAGCACATACCAGATCTGTGCAGAAGTGCCTTTCCAGTATGAACTTCAGTTGCAGGCAATCAGATGCAGCTTTCTTTGCTTACTTCTTAACTGCAGGTGACCGAGATATCCAAAATGGTGACTTGCCGAAGCTAAAAGTGGTTGAGAATTTTATTCTTGAGAGCATGAGGTATCAGCCCGTTGTGGACTTGGTCATGCGTAAGGCCTTGCAAGATGATGTCATTGATGGCTACCCTGTGAAGAAAGGAACCAACATCATTCTCAACATCGGGCGCATGCATAGACTCGAGTTCTTCCCAAAACCAAATGAATTCTCCCTTGACAACTTTGAGAAAAGCGTATGTTCTATGCTCATTGCTCAAGATTGCTTATTGGTTGAAACCTAATTGCTTAAAGTTTAGCTTCAATGTGAAACACATTTGTCTGATCTCAGGAGCAAGTCCTTGTCTGACCCAACCGTGCAGGGCAGAATTGACCACCTGGTGTCCTCAGGACCTAGGGCCCACCTTCGACCTGAACCCCTCTATTTTGGAGACATATTGGCACTGAAATTCCAAATTCCTACCATGCACCAGACCACTTCCTGATGAGCTTTGCTCTGGGGAATTATGAGAATAAATGGATGATGGTTTCCAGTCTGTCCATTGCTCATTATAACAATGTTCCTTCAGCCAGGTTCATGGGGGTGGAGGCATCAATGGAAGAGGTGACCACCAGAGGTTACTATGCTAAATACCCTGTGTCAGTCATCATAGGCTCTGGTTTAGAGAGGGGAAGTGCATAAATTGGGGTTCTGTCTGGAATGTGCTTTGCATTCTTTCTCTGAGGTCTGGTTTTTCCCCACTGGGATACAGAGTACCTGCAGTTTAGCAAATTAGCATGCTCCCCCTTCAGCATGAATTTTAGACATAAAATTAGATGTTCTACTTGAGCTGGATCTCAGGAGGAGCAAAATGCAGGAAAGGGTAAACTAGATGAAGAATAAAGGCATAGGAAGATGAAGGGAAGATCTCTCCCAGTTTTTCATAGGGGTTTTTTTTCATCATTTCATGATGATCCTTACCAAATGCTGCTCAGACTTTCTTTGCTAATGAACATTTCCTAATAATTTCGTGCAGGTCCCCCACCGTTACTTTCAGCCATTTGGATTTGGTCCCCGTGGCTGTGCTGGGAAGTTCATTGCCATGGTCATGATGAAATCAATCCTGGTGACTCTCCTGAAGAGGTGGCACATCCAGACTCTACAAGGCAAAGGCCTTGATGACATTCCGAAAAGCAATGACTTGTCTTTGCATCCAAATGAAACGCAGCCGCTGCTGGAGATCCTCTTCATTCCGAGAAGTAACCTTGGGAAAAGTTGTCACGATGAATAAAACAGCCCACGAAACACCAGAACTTTGATTGCTCGGGCTATCTTATGCCAAGCTGATTGGTTGGACCACCCTAATCAGAATGGATTGGTTGGGCCACCTCAATCAACTGAAAAACTCTCATCCATCCCTGGCGCATCCATTCACTCACTCAGTGAAGTATTTGTTGTTCCAAATAGGTTGTTGATGCTACAACGTTTGATAGAACTCAGGTCCCAGACACAGAGCTGTATTTGAAGTATACACGCAGCTGTTAATAGCAAGTAAATAAACATGTGCAGATTTCTGCACATTTCACATTTCACATGCAGATGTGCAAACCTACAGATTTCTTTACAAAGTTATCCCATTTATGTGGAATTATATAATGGGCATTACATTCTGGCAGAAGTTCTGAAGAACCTGGCATTTCCACAGGTACACAGAGGTGAGCTGGGCCATGCAAGAAACATTTCAGGAGCTGGTTTTCATTTTCATGAAGTTTTATTTTTGCAAGAGTTCATTGGGAAGCAGAAATAACATTTTGGAGCTGGATGGCCTACAGATCAGGCTTTCTTGGAGCCACAGAGCACTATAACTCTGTAGAGCAATACCATAAGAATGTAATCGAAGGCTCATTTAACTGTCCTCATTGGCTATCATGCTAAGTCCTCTGCCTCACTGTGAGTAATGCAAGAAAAAAGCAGAACTGTTTTTTTTTCACTCATGGGGATTTGAGGGAGACGTTCTTCTGGTTTGAAATACTACTTTTCCCCATTCAATTCCCTCCACTACTGCCCTCCATCAGGCCTGAATTCAGAGCTCTCAAGATGCATTACCTCATGCCAGTTAGAACTGCATGAGCACAGCTCTCCTCTTCTCCCTTCCCAGCAGATCAGGATTAAAGGCTTCCAAAATACAGACCTTTAACAAGCGAGGCTGGTTTGGCAATAGAGAGTGAATAATAAAGTGGTTCACAAGTAGCATGTACCAAGTATTGATGCTTGTGATTGGTGGAGTTGGCTCTTGCCCATGGCAGCAGTTGACTTCAAACTGGCTCCCTGTCCTCCTTTTTTCTCCAAAAGGGGTTGGCTCCGCCTTCAGGAAGGTTCATGCTGCTTGTGGGTCAGACAGTGGGAACACCAGACATTACTTAATGGGTCTGCTCATCTGGTTTGATGATGAAACACTGGGTGGATGAACTTACACCCTTCCTCCTCTGACCCTCCTTGTTCAATAGTGTCAGCCCCAAAACCAGAGGTGGCCTGGTTCTCATCAGCCTCTTGGATAATTCTGCTCATTAACTCTGGCATTTTAGGCATGCCTCTTCTTCATCCAGCTCACCTTTAGAAGGCTGTATTTTGAGAGAAATATGGCCAATTGCTACGAAGAATCACCCATATACGTTTGTGCTCAATGACATATGAGGGACAGGGCTGTGGGGAAGAGATATTTTGAACTGGTAACATATATGATATGTGTTGCCAGACTGTCCAAGGAAATCATGTGGCCAAGGTGCAAAAGAAACACTTCCATGATTGCATAAATATCTTATTTATTGCCAGTCAGAACTCAAAATATTCATTGATATTTCATTCATTTTTAGATTGATGTGATTGATGTAATGGTTTTTAAAAGAACAAATTGTTGCAACCATGTATTTCAAACCATTTCTGGATAAGTGACATGCAAACACATTTTTCTGTGCTTTGCAGTAGGCCTAACCTGCAACTGCTGGGAGATCTTGGAGGCAGCAATGTTCAAAGAGGTCTAATATTTACTTAAAAATGAAGTGAGGCAGCAGGGTGCAAAGAGGTATAATATTTATTTAAAAATTAAATGCAGAAGGCATCTCAGCTTTACTGAAAACACACAGAATTCATGTGTAGAAAGGGATAAGGATTAGAAACTTGCTCCTCCTCACCACTGTTTAGTGGTCTAGAGCAAGGCATCAGGCAAAGAAGAGGCTGCAGTAGCAAAAAGAAGCAGCAACTCCAGTGGGATCTTGCCAGTGGCCCCTGCTGGAGCGTGGGCCTTCATCAGACATGCCTACCCATCATGCAACCTGGCTGCCAGTCTCAAAACTATCTTCCCCACCACCACAGCTTCCTCACCCTGTTTTTCCTCCTCCAGATACGAGTTTTCAGGTCACTTTGGATGGTCCCTGCATGCAAAGCATCTTTTCTATGGAAATATGGCACTGAGAAGAGAAAAAAAAAGGCCGAACACTTCTCTGCAAAGCGATCTTTGCCTGATTATCCCTGAAGGTGGCAACTCAGCCCTTCGACCATCCTAGTGAGAAGGGCTTCTCGCATCCTCTCCTAGACTCCCTGTAGCCATTGCTCCATCCTGACAGTCATAGGGAATGCAATCTATGAACTGGGATCAATGCAGACATGCTCATGCCGAACTCTGCATTGATTTCATGGAGATGTAGCTCAGAAGACTGAGGCCCATGGATTTTTCTTTCCCACCAACTCTGCATGCACACGTGTTTGTCTAAATTTTCTTTCTGGCATTAGTTCATGTCTCACCCTAGATCTGAACACTGCGTCGTTGTGATCAATTCCTGTGTGATGTTTGTGGTTTCCTGAATGACACCATTTTGCAGAGCGATTGCATCGCACGGATCAAAGCCGATGGGACAATGTATAAATTATGTGGAATGGCAACTTTGATCTGGTTCCACTGTGTTGCAAAGTGACATAAAAAGACTGTTCAAAATCATTTGTGATTCACTGGTACGTTGATATGAACCATGTCCATTTCAAGGGAGCATGTGATAACCCACTGCGGTAGCTTTTGCAGACTTCCTAGAGGCTATTCAAAGTCTTTGCAGTGATGCATGTCACTCAGGAATGAGTTTTCTGAAAGACTGCATTTTCTCATAGTGGCTTGTCTTGGTTTTGGGATCTTGGGCAGAAGTCTTCTTACTGCCTCACCAGCATCTGACGCTTGTTTGGCAGGAACTCAGGAGAGGACCCCCTTTGCTGATCGCTCCCGGCTCTGGGAACATCATACGATCATGGAGGAAATTAGGTGGCAACCTTCAGCCAGCAAGCAAAACTATTTCTCTTTGGACATTTGGCCTCACAGGTTGATCGGTTATAGGCACTGTTCCATTTGTTCCTAGTTGTTGCTTGGATCAGTTTCATTGATTCTATTGACCAGCTCTGTTTCGATGCTTTACGTGGTTCTGTGGCACTGTATTTTGTCTTTCACCGTTGTTCACCCCTTGGAGCACCATTTGGTGGAAACATGGGAAACACGTTTACAAAACAGACGAACAAAGGAAATAAAAGAAGAGGGAGATCTTTCAATGAAGCCTAGTTCTTTAAAAAAAATTGGGGAGAAAGAAATGCTTTCAAATGCAATGCACCAAAATCATAACAAATATCTTTCTTTTTTCTGGGAAAAACAGAATTCCCACAACTTATTGAATTGATGCAGATGAAATGGTGGGAAAGATATGGAGTTTTGTGAGGGTCCTTTGCCTGCACACATGGATTGCTTTTATTTTAACGCAGTTGTTTTGGGGTGCTTAAAGGCAGCTGCCTCTTTGATGACTTCAGGCAAAAAAAAAAAAAAAACCTCTGCAGCCAAGCAAAAGGAGCTCTCTGCATCACTTGTTGAAGGCCTGTAAGGAGGAGAACGAAGTCTAAAAGTTATATTTCATCACTGCCAGCAGATGGCGCACACAGGAAATCTCTAAATCATCTTTTCTACTAGCAAACCGGTGTAATTAAGGGCCTGCCAGTTTGGAAGCAAAAACGGGGCCAGCCAAAAATAAGATAGCCGTTTCTCCATAGTCATAGGACTTCCCAGGTCTGCAGAAATAGATGATTTAGCAAAGAAAAAGTAATGAAATGAAGTGCAGCTGGAGAATGATATGCCTGCGTCCTGGATTTACAGATGCTTGAGGACTTAAATGATGGTGGGCAACATTCGGTGGGAATGCTATTACTGAGTTTTATGACATTAATATCCCACCTTTCCTCCTCTTGCAATGAACCCAAGGCAGCTCTGTGATGTGCTTAATGGGAGAAGAAGGAACTTCCGCTCTCTTTGCATGAAGTATTTAACCCAGCAATGTACCAAGTTGGGTGGATTAGAGCATCTTCTACATGAGGATTTTTCCCCATGGGTTTTCCTCCTTACTTTTCTATGCGTTCCTAGACATATAGGAATATAAGGCTAGATTAAATAGGAACTAGGCTTCTGTAGCAATTAAGAGTGGCATCCAAGAAAATACTTCATTATCCTTGCAGGCAAAGGGCTGCCCAAATGGCTGGAGGAAGGACAACATCATGACCTGCCAATTGCCGTGAGTGAGGGCTCATGAGTCCATAAAAAATACCTTGTGTAGAGATGCCCAGTGAGGATGTTTCAAGAGGGAGGAAAGGAGGGGAGAAGGACACCTTCTCACTTGCCCACTCGCCACCACTCCTCTTATTGCAACAGGAAACTACTCGCACACAAAGCTGGCAGGCTGGATCTTGTCCCTCTGCCATGCTAGAGTCAGGAGAAGCCGGCCAGGCTACTGGTCTGGCTAATTCCAGGTTGCCCACCTGGATTTGCAGAGGTTTTCCAGAGTCTCAAGGAAAGGTCTTGCCATCACCTGCTTTTGTGGCCACAGCTGAAGAACTCATGGGGAAGAGAGGGGATGAGTGCCCCCCCTGCCCCCTTTCCGCCCCTCCTCCTGACAAGCTTTGGACTGCATGGCTCCTCCCCAGGCCGGCTGCAGCCCAGAATGGAGCTCTCTTCTTTGGGTTCGGGATGCACAACGCTGTTTGCCATACTACCAGCTTTTTTCCTTCCAAGAGCAAACCTGAATAGTTAGGAGCCAGTCATTTTGGAAGCAAGCTGCTCATAGTATTTCTGCAGTACGGTTTCTAAATACCCAGGAGAACTTCCTAGCTAGACAAAAAAAAAAAAAGTAAATTTCATGCATGTATAAAAATAGGCCAACAAGTCCTGGTAAATTTCCAAGTTAAGACAACCTCCGTTCATCAATTACCTTTATT